AGGGGTGACTGGCCCTGCCTGGCCTATTGTTCCTGGCTGGGACAGGGCTGAGACTGGACACCTGAGATGGAGCCAAGACAGAGGCAAGCCCAGGAATCCCCTACTGGAGGAGGAGCGGCTGGGCAGAGCCAATCTATCAAAGATGGGGAAAGTGAGGCCCAGAGAGAGGTAGCTACTCCCCCAAGTTGCACAGTGCATCAGGGCAGAGGAGGATGAGTTTGACTCAGGCTCAGTTCTTACCCCCACAAGCACACCCCTCACCCTGTGACCTGGTCACTCCTGGCCAAGCCCGACCCTCCAACTTGCAGGAGGCAGGAGCTCCCGATATCGCACTGTGTGGTGGCAGTGGAGTCACTTCACTTCTCCGGTCACTGGATGCTGGGGAGAAACACTGTCTCCACCCTAGTCCTCAGAACTGAGGGCCCGGAGGGCCTTGGAAACGGCCAGGGGGAGCAGCTATCGGTTGTGCCTTAGATGAGGATGCAGGCAGCTGATGCCTTCGCTGATGGGGGGAAACTAGAACTGTGGAACAGGTCTCCAGGCCCCAGAGTGCAGCCCAGAGAAGGCAGGCAGGTGGCCTCAGGTCACACAGCAAAAGCCGCCCATTTGCTGCCTGCCCTGGCCCAGCTCCAGGCCAGTCCTCTCCTCCTGGATCTCTGGGCTTTTAGCAAAGTAAGGGGTGGCTGCAGAGCGCCATGGTGGACACCCCAGTCCAGGAGTAATGGCTACCCTGCTGCATGGGAGGGTGGGAGCTCTCTAACCTGAAGGAGCAAGGCCCTGAAGCTTGCTACTAGGAGACTCCTCTTCCTCCTCTCCATGCTGCCCTCACACAGCCAGGCACCTGGGCAAGGTTCTGTAAACAGCACAGGCCCATGGTCCTGAAATCTACCCACCGCCATGCAGGGCAGAAATGCCCCCACACATTCCCCCAAGACAGACCTGCTTCCCTCCTCCCACACCAACGGGGGATCCCTAGAGATGTATGGCCCACTGTTGCTCACTGACCAGGCACACCATCCTCTCTCAAAACGTGTAGCCCATTGTGGTTACGTACTAAGTGATGTCAACTCTGTGAGGGCGGGGCCCAGCTGCTTGGCCTCCGTAGCCCCGGCCCAGTGCCAGCAATATAAATGCTGAGCACACGCTGGGCACTGTGAGGACGACTTCACGCTAATAACGCAGGGAAGCCCCTCAGTGCCCTGTGTGGAAGGCAGCATCTCATTTTAGAAATGGGAAAACTGAGGTGCTGCAGAATTAGGTAACTCGCCAAGAGGCCCCAGCTGGGAAAGTGGGGACAACAGGGACACTGAGGTGGTGTGGGTGGAGCACCTGTGTCCTCACATCCTTGCTACTCCACCTCTGTCATCTTGAATCATGCCAGGGGCTACTTATAGACCCTCCTGCCCTGCAGGGCTGTGAGTGTGGTGGAGCACTAGAGAGGCATGACTCTGGCCATCAGGTGGCCTGGACTCACTCTGACTCGCCCTGGTGGCCTGGATAACTCAGAGCAAGTCCTCACTTCTTACGCCTTCTCCTGTTTCCTCATCTGCTAAATGGGATCATAGCATCTACTTCCCAGGGTTGCTGTGAAGCATCCACCATATAACATAGATGAGAGGGTCCCGCAGGGTGCATGGGACATGGGTCAATACAGGACTTCCCTCCCCCATGTGCCTGATTCTAGGACACAGCAGCCCAAATCTGCCATGACAAGGGTGGCAGGGAGGTAGTTTTGGTGGCTTGAGCTGGAGCAGCCCTGTGTGGATAACATGTTGTTTGGGGCCTCTTCTAACCTTTTGGGGTGAAAGTGGAAATGTCCCCGGGGTTGACCCCCTCCCTCCTGGGTCCTGGGACACCTGCGAGTCAGGGAAGAGACCCCTGTGTGCCAGGGACCCTGCCCTGAGGTCATGCCATTCATCGAGAACAGCTGCTGCAGGCGCATCAGCCAACATTTACTCCCAAACACTCAACTCTCCACCCTCCCCTTCCTCCCATCTCTGCCCTGTCCCTGGCCTCAGCTCTATGGCCTCATCTCAGTCACCCTGGCAGGAAGAGCTGGGCAATGTGAGTGACAGCAGAATCGCCACCAAGGCACTGGCTTACATCCAGGCGCCACGCTGACCTGCTGAATGACCTTGAGCTCAGCCCCACCCGTCTCTGGCCTTGAGTCTACAGCTGGGCTGGATAATCTCTAGGGTCAGCCGGTGGCTGGGCGACTCACGTGCCCTTTCACAGTGGCCTTCATGAGTCAACAGCCCAGGAAGTGATGTCAGGTTAGGGAGGTGTAGAGGGGGCAGGGAGGCCTGGAGGGTAAAAGCAGATATTTTGAGGGCAGGCAGGTTCCCCCCACGTCACTGCTGGACAATGGTCTTGGGCCAGGAATGGAAAATTCTGGTCTTACTTGGGCTGAAAATAGCAAGAGGCATCAGGGCAGGAACCTCACCCCCAAGGTGAGTGGCCTGGGCACTGAGCAGCAAGGCCGGCCGTGCATACCAAGGGGTCAGGCAGTCTAATGGGGTTCCAGAGGTGGGGCCTTGTGCCTGTCCCTGGTTTGCCCAGGGTCTCCAGTGTTCACCCCCACCTGTGCCTGCCACAGGATTAGATGGCAAATAAGCCCCTCCCGTGTCCTTATGGACCTATGTCCCAGGTCTATGTCCTTAGAAATCTGCAGGCAGTGGTTCAAGGAGAGATTCCTGGCTCTAGGCAATGGTGTCTCCATCCACCATGGGGTCTGGTTTGGGGCAGATGCAGGAGGTAGGTTGGCAGGACATGAGAAGAATGGGGACCAGTGAACTTGGGCTTGGGGAAGTCCTAGCCTACCCCGACCAGAGATGCACACTCAAGGGCCCCCAAAATCATGAGATACAATCCTGCCTCCAGGTCTAAGCAGGGCTGAGAGGGTCAGAGCTCAGCATTCACACTCTCAGTCAGCAAAGCATCTCACCTGGGGACAGGATCCCTATAAACTGGGATGGGGTTCAGCTTGAACAGCAGTTGGTAGAAAAGGGAGTGGCTTGGGCCTGCAGGAAAGGCTCAAGGATGGTTCGTAAGAGGCAGTCACTAAGAAAGCTCAGAAGGGCCAGGTACAGCGGCTCACACCTGTAATCCCAGCACTTTGGGAGGCTGAGGCAGGTGGATCACTTGAGGTCAGGGGTTTGAGACCATCTTGGCCAACATGGCGAAAACCCATCTATATTACAAATACAAAAATTAGCTGGGTGTGGTGGCACATGCCTGTAATCCCAGCTACTTGGGAGGCTGAGCCAGGGCTAGGAGAATCACTTGAACCTGGGAGGCAGAGGGTTGCAGTGAGCCAAGATGGTGCCACTGCACTTCCAGCCTGGAGTCTGAGCAACAGAACAAGACTTCATCTCAAAAAAAAAAAAAAAAAGCTCAGAAGGACATCGGCTACATTAACAGAAGTATAGAACCTAGAATGTGAGAGGTGAATATCACACACTATTCTGGGCAGGTCACCCACATGACACAGTGCAGAGTAACCATTTGGGTCATGGTCTGTGATGGGTCTCTGTCACATGAGGGCGCTGTGAAGTCAGGCTCCAAATACAGCAGACTTTGGGGATGCCCTGCCTTTCACAAAGAAGACTGGGAGGGATGAAAAGGTCAGAGGCAGGCAGAGTGGGCCCACAGGGCGAGGGCTCTCCCAGAGGGAGAGGAGTGGGTCCCTGTCCTTAAGATCAAGAGTGAGGCCTGTCAGCTTTGCCCTATCCCTGTTCAAAGGTTAGGGCTGAGGCCTGTCCTTCTGAGCTCCACACATCAGCCCAGAGTGGTCCTGGCTAGACCCAGAACCTATCATAGGTGAGACCCATCTCCCCAACGTTAAGTCCTGACGCAGCCTGAGCACCATCGTGCCATGTATCTGGGATTTTCCCAGAAGGCAGAGGATGGACCTGATCTCTTTCATATTTACCCCCAATGCAAAGGAAGACTTAGGGTCAGGGCAAGGAGGGAGCCCTGACTTGGCCTCCTTGTGACCTAGCTCCAACCCTACCTTCAGCCTGGAGCCAGCTGTCCAGACTGCTTATGGCTCCTGCACACCCTGCGCTGTTGCCCCATGTCTTTGCCTGGGATACATCCTGTATGTGGGTGTTCTCCTGGTGAGCTGCTTTTCTCAGAAGCTACAACTCAGGAGTCTCCTCACTCCAGAAACCCTTCCCTGATCCCCAGCTCACAGTCCCAGTCACTCGGCATTATCCAATGATGTGCTGAAGTGACTTGTACCTACTTGCAAGAACCAATTGTTAAATTTTTAGAAATTTTACAAGGAAGTTGACATCATGTTTATAGTTTGAATTTGGCCATGATAAGAGTTTTTGCACCATGGAAATGGACAGTTCTACAAAGAAGGGGTCCCCAGTTAAATCGGAGCTCCAGTGATTTCACATTTATCAGCACATGACTGGCCATCACCTAAACTGGGAGATCTCAAGGTCTCGGACTGCACCTGACTCTTCTCTGTGCTCGGCACAGAGGCAGGCACAGAAGTCAACTGGCTTTAAAGAGGGGGATGACTGGGGCTGGGCGCGGTGGCTCATGCCTGTCATCCCAGCACTTTGGGAGGCCAAGGCAGGTGGATCACGAGGTCAGTAGATCGAGACCAACCTGGCTAACATGGTGAAACCCCATCTCTACTAAAAATACAAAAAATTGGCCAGGTGTGGTGGCACACACCTGTAGTCCCAGCTACTTGGGAGGCTGAGGCAGGAGAATCGCTTGAACTGGGGAGGTGGAGGTTGCAGTGAGCTGAGATAGCACCACTGCACTCCAGCCTGGGCAACAGAGTGGGACTCTATCTCAAAAAAAAAAGGTGGGGGATGATCTGGGGTCTAGAGAGAGGATCCCTGATAAGAGACTACTCCTGAGACAGCTAGTGAGAAGGAAGGTGGCAGGAGGGATCGGGTTGGAGAAAGGACCCTTTTGTGGCTGGTGAAAGCTTCCCCGCCATATCCTCATCCCCCAACCATACAATAGGGCACAGCTCAGCAGGCAACACAATCTTTAGTATAAGTGACAGCCTCACACTGGCTCCCAGCCCATGGGAGCCTCCAGATGGGTCTATGACATTAGTCCCCAGATGTTCATCTCTTGGGCTGGGGGTACTCCTCAGAGCTGAGTCCACCGTGGCACCCAGTTCATTCCACACCACTGTTCGAACTCAGCCCTCTCTATTTACCAGGGTTTTCTGGCCAACCTGTGACTTGGCCCCCACCCCAGGTATCTCAGCTCCAGACTCTGGTATGTGACCTTGGTAAGCCACCTTCCTCTCTGGACCTGTTTCTTCATTTGACTTGATTAGGCTGAAATCCTACCTAGGTACCTTGGCAGTACAGCCAGCTATTTGTGTGGGAGTCAGGCCAGGGGTGTCACTGACCTTCAGCTCTCACCTTTCTTGAAGCTTAATTACCCCAACTCATACACACAAATGATGACTAGGGGTTATGGGAACAGCTGACTCTGGAGAATATCCTGATGCCCTGCCAAATGACAGCGCATGGGGTCATGGCTTCCTTGGTCATCCAGCATGAGTCACTGATGGTCCATATCTGGGGAGACCGTGCCCTCTGCACAATTCCTGGTCCCCTACAGCTTCTCAATATAAACCTGCGTAGGCCGGAAGTGTTCCGCTCCTACAGCCGAATGTCCTTAGCGTTCTCGCTACCAGCCGGCGTGGACTCTGTCTGCCTGGAGTGCTCACTGCTTCCCAACACATCTTCTATCCTCTGCATGTCAGTTCTGTCGGATCTGCGCAGACCCAGCCTGCGGCGAGCCGGGGTGGCGGCGCTGGGGCCAGTGGGTGGTTTGGTATCTCGGGCAAAACGGACGAGCCTCTGCCCAGCCAGGAAGTAGAGCACGGGGTCAAGGCAACTGTTGGCACTGGCTAGTGGCCGGGTGACCTTGTAGGCCATGTTGATGGCGTTGAGGGTGTGGCAGCTGAGGTCTAGAGAGCGGAAGGAGTAGTAGAGGGTGCGGGTGACGTGGAAGGGCAGGAAGCAGAGGGCGAAGACAGCCAGCACCACGGCGATGGTGCGCACGGACTTGCGCTTGGCCCGAGGCAGGCCGCCCGTGCTCCCGTAGGCTGGCTTTAGCAGCCGCCGAGCCATGAGCACGTAACAGACAAGGATGACGGCAAAGGGCACCGCGAAGAGCAGGCCCAGCATGACTGAGCTGTAGGCCACGAAGCGGCTGAAGAACTCGGGCGCCGAGGTGTCGTGGCAGGTCACACGGCCTCCTCGAGCGCTGGTGGTGACAAAGTAGAGCACGGGGGCCTGGCAAGCCAGCACCAACACCCACACTCCCGCAGCCACCCGGCGAGCATAGCGGGCCTGGCCCCAGCGCAGGGAGCGCAGAGGGCGTAAGACTCCCAGGCACCGGTGCACGCTGATGCAGGTGAGGAAGAGGATGCTGCAGTAAAGGTTGGTGTAGAAGAGAAAGCGAACCAGCTTGCAGAGCACCCTGCTGAAGGGCCAGTGGTCACCGTGGGCGTAGTAATAGACCAGCAGCGGCAGGGAGGCCGCATACAGTGCATCAGACACAGCCAGGTGGAACATGTACGTAGTGGAGGCATTCCAGGTCTTGAGGCGGCACAAAAAGATGTAGAGTGCCACAGCGTTCAGACACAGCCCAAGCACGCACACGACGCCGTAGGACACAGGCAGCAGCACGTACTTGAAGTCCTCGTTGAAGTGGCACCGGTAGCCCAGCTCATCCCCATCCCAGGTGCCATTGATGGTGCCATTCCAGGGGTCCAGGTCTGCTGCCATCGCCCTGAAGGGAAGGGAGGAGTGGGGACATCAGGGTTGTGGCCGGAGCACCCCTAGGGGACCCAACACAGCCATCTGTCCAGGACTTTTGTTGCCATCTGACTTGGATCTGGATCCAGAACCTCCAAGCTCTGAAACTTTGAGAATGCATGAGATCCATGAATATTAGGATCACACAATTGTCAAATTTGAAAACAGAGGCAGACAAACTATAGTCCAAAGGCCAGTTCCAGTCTGCTTTTGTAAATTCAGCTTTATTGGAACGCAACCATACCCATCTGTTTTCAAAGAGTTGAGTAGTTGTGATAAAGACCATACAGGCATGTGAAGTCTAAAATATTCACTATCTGACCTTTAAAAAAAGTTAGCTCAAGCTGGGTGTAGTGGCTTACACCTATAATCCCAGCTACTCGAGAGGCCAAGGCAGGAGCCAGGTGTTCAAACCCAGTTCAGCAACAAAGTGAGACCCCATCTCTACAGATTTTTTTAAAAAAATTAGCCAGGCATGCTGGCATGCACTGGTAGTCCCAGCCACTTGCAGGCTAAGGCAGGAGGATCATTTGAGCCCAGGAGCTTGAGGCTGCAGTGAGCTATGATCACACCACTGCACTCCAGCCTGGGTGATATAGCAAGACCCCATTTCTGGGAGAAAAAAAAAGTTTTCCTATCCCTCTCTAGAAACTCAGGATCAGAGTTCTAGATCTAGGATTCTGAGCTCTAGAATCTGAGGATCTGGGAGTGCCAGAGCACGTAATTTTGAGTTCATGGGAAGAGGCTGGCTGGCCCTGTGTCACACCAAATGCCCACTTGTCTGCAGGGGCATTTCTGGCCAGTAGGCATCCCACAGCCTCCTGTGGGCATTGTAAAGTTCTCTCCAGCTCATCTTCCTACTCTCGGGAGGCTCTGGGCCCACGCTTAGGGTTCTGGTATTGGAGAAAGTATTTCCAAGGGTCTCCCTCTTCAGTTATTCATTCACTTTTTACATCTTCCTCTATTCTGGCACTTTTTGTATCTTATCAACAGCAGTCCTCCCCTTAAGCCTGTGAGGCCACCAGGGAATCCCCCTGAAGTAACCCCCCTGAAGAATACAGGGAAATCTGGGGTGGAGATGGGGATAGGGGACCAAGGGATCTTCTTTTGTGTGGCAAATACAGCTTCTTCCATGCCCACCCGGTTTCTCTCTGCACACCATCACTATTGTGATGTCCCCTGCACCTTGTCTCCACTGAGCATATAACACACCCATGGGGACTGACCGTCCAACAGACAGCTTGTCCCCCTCGCTCTCCTCCTCACACCTACCCAGATGACCAGTTAAGAGCTCTCTCACAGCTGGGAGGCAGGGGAAAGACAGCCCAGCCTGGAAGGCAAAACATCCCAAGGGCCAGCCTAGAAATCATAGCAGGAGTCCTGGATGGGCAAGTTTCAGAAAAACCCAAAGAAGCACTTTCTAGCAGTGTGAAGGGGCAGTGGGAGCTAATGTTTTTCCAACCCTACTACTATGTGTGCTTTCTAAAAGTTATTCACTTAGGCCTGGGCGCGGTGACTCACACCTATAATCCCAGCACTTTGCGAGGCCAAGGTGGGTGGATCACTTGAGGCCAGGAGTTCAAGACCAGCCTGGCCAAAATGGAGAAACCTCATCTGTACTAAAAATACACACACACAAATTAGCCAGGTGTGGTGGCAGGTGCCTGTAGTCCCAGGTACTAGGGAGATTGAGGTGGGAGGATCACCTTGGGCCCAGGAGGTGGAGGTTGAGGTGAGCCAAAATTGTACCACTATACTCCAGCCTGAGCAACACAGCAAGACTCTGTCTCAGGAAAAAAAAGAAAGTTACTTTACTTTATCCTTACGATGTGTTCTGTGAGCCAGGTCACCATCCCCAGCTCTCCAATCAAGAGGCTAAGACACAGGTCATGTAAATTATTTGGTCAAGGTCATGCCACTGGGGATGGGCTGCAATTCCTGTCCAGGTCCAGCCCCTGGAAGTGGCTCTAGGAGGGAGGTAGTGAACTCCCTGTTTGTGGGATTATGCAAGTGGCTCTCTAGCGGGAGGTAGTGAACTCCCTGTTTGTGGGATTATGCAAGTGGCTCTCTAGCAGAGGCTGCAGAAGGGCTTATGCCCGTGTGGAGGTGTGTCTGGGAGGATGGAAAGGGCAGATGAAGTGTGAGTCCTCCTCATCCTGAGAATCTGGGGCCGTATAACTCCCTCCATTTTATTTATTTATTTTTAGACAGAGTCACTCTGTCGCCGAGGCTGGAGTGCAGTGGTGCGATCTCAGCTTGCCGCAACCTCCACCTCTCAGGTTCAAGCAATTCCAGGCACATGCTACCATGCCCAGCTAATTTTTGTATTTTTAGTAAAGATGGGATTTCACCATGTTGGCCAGGCTGGTCTTGAACTTCTGACCTCAAGTGATCTGCCCACCTCGTTCTCCCAAAGTACCAGGATTACGGGATTGTGGCCTAATTCCCCTAATTTTAGATCCTGGAGTCCTGAGGGACTGGGGGACTCTGCAGAGTGCGTGACATCCACTCCCATAGACCCAGGCTTCCCTTCCAGGTTTGGCTTCCCAGCAGCAGTTCAAAGCCCATGAGGTTGAGATTAGGGGTGCTAGGAGGCAAGTGTAGAGGTCCTTCGATTTCTTTCCTTTTTTTTTTTCTTTTTGAGGCAGATTCTCACTCCATCGCCCAGGTTGGAATGCAGTGGCGTGATCTCAGGCACTGCAACCTCTGTTCCTGAGTTCAAACAATTCTCGAGTCTCAGCCTCCCAAGTAGCTGGGATTACAGGTGTGTGCCACCACACCCAGCTATTTTTTTTTTTTTTTTTTTGTATTTTATAGTACAGATGGGGTTTTGCCATGTTGCCCAGGCTGGTCTTGAACTCTTGGACTCAAGTGATCCGCCCATCTCGGCCTCCCAAAGTGTTGGGATTATAGGCGCAAGCCACAGTGCCCAGCCAGTTTCCCTTCTTTCATCAAGACTCCCAGATCTTCTCTGTCTCCTATTGTCAGCAAATGTGCACTCACAAGAAAGGGGGCCTGCACCCTTGTTCCCCCTGCCATGGACACAGATGGCTCCCCAGGGGGCGGAGGCCAGGAGAAGCTTATGTGGTGCCAAGTTAAGAAGGGACAGGTGGAGCCTGGGGCTCTAGCAGGGTCAAGTGGCTGATACCCGTCTTACCCAGGGTCAGGGCAGTTCCTGCTGCCAGCCTAGTGCCAGGCTCTACCTCTTGTTGCTGGAACCACTGCATTGGCCTCCATTCTCCAGCCCCAGCCCCACCCACTCACCAAAATCCAGAGTGGCCTTTGTCAAAGAAAGTATTCTTCTACTTGAAACCCTCCTGGGGCTCCTGCCCTCTCTCAGGAGAAAGCCTAGCACTCAAGTCTGGTACCTGAGGTTTTCATAACTGAGCCTCTGCCAACCTCACCTGCCCCAACCCCTGTGACCTGCAGTTTCCTGAATGTGCCCAACACTCTTCCCTCCCAGCCCTAGTTCCCACTGCTCCTTCTACCTGGAGTTCATTCATGGCCCTCATCTCTACCTGTTGAACCCACGGCTCTTTATCCTTCAGTGCAGAGAACTCAGTGACTAAGAACCTAAGCACTGGAGCCAGACTGCCTCTGTTTCCTCAGCTGTAAAATGGGACAACTACTAGAATCTCCACTATAGGACTGCTGTGAGGGTCCAGTGTTCTGTGTAAAATATCTGGAGTAGAGGCTGCACACAGTAGGCACATGGTGGTGTTCTAAGTGCCAAGGTTCAGCTAGCAATGGCCTTTTCCGGAAACCTTAGGCCACAGTGGAGGTGGGACTGGAGGTCCTGACTGGGGGCTGTGGAGGTGAGTGTGGTGGGCCAGGGGAGTGGCATCAAGACCGAAACTGGGGCAGGCCCTGGGCCCTGTGAGAGGAGGAGGCCTCAGAGATGTCTGGGAGGCAGGCTCTGGAGGCTGTTCCGGAGCGGTGGGAGAGGAGGAATTTGGTGTCCGTCATGGCAAATGTGAGGGTGGGCACAGGCTGGGTCCATCAGGTCGGGAGCTTTGGAAGGGCAGCTGAGAGTCGCTTGCTCACAGAAGCTGCAGGAGTAGCGAGGAGAGGCCCCCGTGTGAGACTGAGGAGCTATGGAAGGACCACATTCCCTCCCGGGACAGAGTCCCTGCCTGGGGACCAGTAAGCTGAGGTTTGAGTCTAGCTTGGCCACAAAACACCGGGTGACGTCAGGCATTTCTTTCCCTCAGAAGTCTCAGACCCTAATCAAATCCCCCAGCCTTGAGAACTGCAGCCCCTAAATGTCCGCGAGAGGTCTTCTGCCCCTCTTGGACAGGGAGGGGCCTTCCTCCATGATCGAGACACAAACGCCCAGTCTTCCCTCCATGCCACTGCTCTGCTGCTGCCCCAGGGCTGAGGCCTGACTTCCCTCCACAGTCACCATCTCATCACCCCGCATGAAGAGTTTCCTGCTAATCCCTAATGGTGGAATCTCTGACACTGAGAAGAGGGGTGGAGACTTCCCTGTCTCCCTTGAACTGAGGGATCTGCCGCTTCCACTTGTTTTAAGACATCCTGGCCCCCACCCTCCCAGGCCAGCTGGGGACTCCATCACCATGGCCCCAGGCCAGACTCACCCCGCCAGCCCTCTTGCTCTGCAGGCTGGCTCACCAACCTGTGAGTACATCTTTCCTAGCCCCAGCCCCTGCCTTAGAGGGACAGCCAAGTCCCCAACCCTCTCCCTTAAGTCTCCCCTCTGCTTCTCCTTACCCTGATGCACCTGGGTCTAGAGACGGCTCCATCTGACCGTCCAACGCTCACCAGCCCCCCTGCGTCCCAGTGGCTGGTCCTGTCCCAAGGACCTTCTAGTCTGGAGGGGAGACCAGAGCCTTGTAAAGGACCCTTCCAGGCTCCTCTGCCTGTGTTCATGCTGTTCTTTCTCACTACAAATCCTTCCCAGGACCCACCCACACTGCACTCCATCATCCCAAAGGATCTTCTCATCTCTGAAGCTTTCTCTCCATCATCCCTGGGAACATTTCTTAGCCAGTTGGTAATTTGTCCTTCCATCCTCTATCCCAACACATTTCAGGTGCTCCTTGAGGGCTGGGTCCATCTGATTTTTCTCTGTCCCTATCACCCAGCAGGAGGCCCGACCACAGGAGGTATTACAGGAATGAGAGAATGAATGAATGAAGCAAGCACGGCTATGGGGGCCCAGAGGAGGTGCACACAGACACAAGCCCTTCTGCAGCCTCTGCATACTCCTGTAAACAGGGACTTCACTACCTCCCTCCTGCAGCCCGTTCCACTGTGGGATAGACCTGAATGGGAATTGCAGCCCATCCCCACTGGTGTAACCTTGACCAAATTACTTGCTCCTCTGAGGGCCTCTCAAAGACAAGAATGCTTAAAGATTTCTTAGCTGCTGACCCTACGTATCCAGGGGACAACCCAGCCCTTCTAGGGGTCCCGGCCCACCTGGGACCTGCTTATGTCCCTGCTTATGTCTCCTTCAACTGCCACAGGAGCCCAGGAGACTCTGCCCTTCTCTGGACAGGTCAGGGAAGTGCCAGTGGGAGGGGATTGGACAGGCCTATTCTGGAGATAGGTTGGCTGTCTTGAGGCCTGCCACAGGTTTCTACCTACCTCAGGACCTGCGTCAGTCTGATCAGGATTCTCCACCCACCTTGCTTTGTAAGGGCCAGACTTGGGCTGAGCAGCTTTCACACAGCATCTTCATCCCCCACCCCACCCCTTGGTAGATACTGCCATAAAGGTTAAGCTATTTGTTCAAGATCACACTGCCAGGCATTGGAAAAATTAGGCTTGACACCCAGGGCTGTCTGGCTTCAAAGCCTAAATTTATCACAGCCTGGGATGAAGGAGCAGGGCACGGCACCTGCCTTCGAATCCCTTGATCTAAGCCAGTTCAGGGCAGACACAGGCACAACGGCACACACACCTGTCCTCACCTCCCGGCCGGGGCACCCACCCACACACACCCGTACCTGACCAGCCCCTGCTCTCCAGGTCAGGATGCTCAGTGCCTGCTCGGATTCCTCACTCATGAATGCACACGCCTGGACCGGGCTGCAGGGAACTCTGCAGGAAACAGGAAAAACAGGTCCCCAGGCCTGGGGCCACGCCCAGCCTCCAACATTTTTCTGGGCAGGCCGTGCTGCTGCCCCAAGAGGCTCCTGCAAACACAGGGAGGTGGAGAAAGCTCAGGCTCAGGGTCATGGAAACCCAGCCAGGACAATCCCCCACAGGGCTGCCTCTTCTGTGGTAACTTTGACCAGAAGGAGGCAGAGAGGTGGCCTGGTGTTTGTCCTGGTCTGAGTGCCTTCTCAGCTCAAACACCCAAACCCCAGCTCATGTGTTCCAGGGACTGGTTATTCACAGCTTCCTTCCCTGGGCTCCCCTTTCACAGAGGGGTGGTTCTGCCTGAGGGAAGGTCTCCCCAGTGTCCTGCACAGCTGAGCCAAACCTCCAAGCCTCCAGGGTCTCTTTCTGAGGTCCTGGTTCTGTGCTTTGGCCCCACAGCAGGAAAAGTCAATACCCTCTTTGTCCAGTGTGCATTCTAGTGTACTTCTGCCAACACACTTTTGCCCAAGCAAGGTTTCTAGAGACCCCCTGCTCCCCACTCCTACCTCTAAGCGTTCCTCCATAGGTGTTATAAACACACATACGCCACACCTGATCACACACTGGCACAGACACACCAAGATATGCAGAGGCATGCAGAGTCGCACTCAGGTGTACGTGCAGTGGACACACACGGATGTACACGTGCGCACATGCACACGTGCACACACACTCACACACACAGACGCAGTCTAGACCGTCAGGGCCTGAAACAGCATTCAGAAATCTCCTGCGCCAAACCCTGTTTCATAGAGGAGGAAACTGAGACGCAAGTCTCACAGTAAGTCAGGGACAGAGCCAAGGCTAGAGCCCAGCCCTCCTGAATTCTGGCCCTGGTTTTTGTCTCACCTTGGAGCCCCCTGCACACATCAAGCACAGGATTTCAGGGAGGGGACAGCTGCCTGGTGGAGGTGACCCTCTGGGTGGGCAGGTCCCACCATCCGCCAGCACCTCGGAATCTCGCAGGAGAAATAGAACATAACCCTCCTGAGCTTTGCTTTTGCATCTTCGTTTCCCTAGGGTGGAGGAGTGGGCCTGTGGCAGCTGAGGCGAGGTCCCCAAGGATGGGAGGATGTGGAAGAGGAGATAGGGGCGCTGCAGGAATAGCTTGGGGACAGGCCGTGGGAAATGCCTCCGGGCCGCTGCTTCCTGAGTGCACCTTGCCCGGTGGTCTCAGACTGGCATGGCTGGTGGACTGGTAGCGCCCCACTGATCTACTCTAGAGGCTGTGACAAGGTGAGGGGTATCACCTTTTCACCTGCTAGGCCCAGGTGCATTCCCTGTCTCCTCCTCCTTAGAAAATGCCTTGACTCAATAGGCTGAAGTGGAGAATATCACTTTCTTCAGGTGGTACTCATTTCTGAGAAGGGCCTGCACCATCTTTCCAGATTTCAAACCTCTGATATGGCCTGGACAACATCCTTCTCCCCACCCCACTGGAAGCCCACCACTCACCAAGTTCTATCAGTTCAACCAGTGAAGTTCCTCTGACATGCACCACACGGTCCCTGCGCTGCAGCCTGAGGCCCGTGCTCCCACAGCCCACAGCACCAGCCTCCTCACTGGCCTCCGTGCCTCCACCCCTGCCACTTTCATACTGCAGTCATGTGGTTTCCTAAAAGACAAATCCGACCATATTTTGTTGAGTCACGTCCCTGGCTCCCTAGTGCCCTCAGGCGAATATCCCGGTTCCTCAGCCTGGCACTCAGGCCCTGGCTGATCTGGTCCCTGCCACCCCTCCAGAAAACCCACCTTCTCTGCTTTTGCCCTCATCTTCCTGTCTCAGGCACAACAAAAACAGTCCCGTGGTCCTATCGTCACTCAGGGATGGCCTCCCTGATCATCTAACACCTATATCACCACAAGAGTTTCATGCTGTCCCTGTGCTAAGTTCTGTGTTAGGTGGTTTCATATACCTCTTTCCGTTGAATCCTGAGAGACTCAGAGAGGCTAAATAACCTCTCCCGGGTCACAAAACTAGCAAACAGCATAACAGCTCTGGACTGTCTGGCTGTGCCCCTGACCGCTACCTCCCACCCTGCAAGACCCAGGCCCTCTCCCCAGGCAGCTCCCCGATCAGCTCTTTTTGGCTTCACAGCTCTGCCTATCTGCTCAGTTTTCTGCCATAGGAGTGCCCGATTGGCAGGGCCCAGGATTTATTCTTCCCAGTACTTACTTAGCGTGAGGAGGTCATGGTGGTTATTGTACCCATCTCACAGGTAGAAAAACTAAAGCCAGAAAGGGGTAGCTCAAGGTCTCACCCAAGGTCACCAGTGAGTCAAGGGCAAAGCCAAGCCTAACATGCAGACCTCTAGCCCCCTGACCTGGCTCTGTCCCTACTCCAACCTGGGTCTTTCTCTCTGCGGTTCTAGGCTAGTGAGGCCCAAATTAGGAGGAGGAGCTGGGAGCTCCCAGGCCGCTGCGGAGTTTCCAGGGCAGTTGGATGACATTCCAGCTCCTCGAGTTGAGTGGCTCTGGAATGTGCCTCTCTGCCTGGTGGCAGACCCCGTCTAGCCTGGTAGGGGAGAATGTCCTGTCACCACTGTGTGGAGACCCCTGCTGCCTATCTCTGCCAGAGATGGGGTACTGTGAGGGGAAACAGAGGACCTGGTCCCAGGAACACATCGAGGGGGCAAGAGAGGGCACTAGGCAGGTGGGAAATCCCAGTTCTGCTCTTCCCAGCAGTAAGACCTGGACAAATCTCTTAACTCCAAAACCCAGATCTCAATTTCCTCTTGATATCAGGACAGTACCTGCCTCAGAGGGTTGTTGAGCTAATAAGATGATTTAGACTCATTTTATGAAATAGTAAGAGAGAGAGAATATTTCAGCAGGTAAAGAAGGTAGGGAGGGTGGGGGTATCTCAGGAAGACATGAAGGGCAGGAGGCCTCACAGGAATTATGGGCAGGGGCTACTGGAAGGTCACAACCAGAATAGCGACAGATCAGGTTTTCCACACTGAAGGCCGTCCTCAGGGGGAAACCAGTCCAGGGATTCCCCAGCAGAAGCAAGATACCCACCACACTCTCTCACTCGCTCACCCTTCACAAAGGTTGTCACATCTATGCCCATAGTTGGGCAGGGCACCTGGGGACTCTCAGGTAGGTCAGATCTCAAAGTCAGGGGAGGCACTCTTGGAAACAGGCAATGGTAACACAGGTGATCAGACCTGGAGGAAGCCAAGGAGGCGCCTCACAAGAATGGAGGGGTGATGAGGGAAGGCTTCCTGGAGGAGAGAGCGCCTGACCTGCATTTGGGAAGATGAGTAGGACTCAGGTGGGTGGAGAGAGAGGAGGAGCAGAGTGAGGATGAACAAGAGAGGACATGACACGTGTGAGGAACTGCTCATCACCCTGGTGGCTTGAGAGGAGTGAAGAGGGCAAGGCTGGAGTGCACAGGCTGAGCTTAGAAGTCACCCCTGACTCCTCCCAAATGTCCTTCAAGGGCCCAAGGCCAGCAGGCCCCCTGCCTGGCCTGCCATGCTTCTGCACCGGGAGCACCAGGGAGTGGAAATGGCTGAGGGGTAACCTCAGATGCTATCAGCCAGTGCCTTTGTGGTGTGAGGCTTTCTCTTCATGAGGCCCTTGGGCTCTGTACCCACTCTCAGATGCTCTCTCCCTCTTGGGGACCCCCCGAGATCCTGGCTGTGGAGGCTACTCACCAAGGCCGAGCTCAGAGCAGCAGCTGAGTGGGTGAGTCTAGATCAGAAAGATCTGAAGAGGAAGGGCCTTACTCAAGGTCTGGTGTTCTAATTATTGTCAGTGTGGGTTTGACAACCTCACCCCCAACCCAGAGCAGAACTCCAAACCACCCATCTCACCTGCAACCAAGCACAGCCCAGAACAGAGCTACAGAGCCGTGCTACTAAATTAAGCAGGCTTAAACCACAGTGTCCTGGACCACCACCCCAACCTTTCACGGCCAAATGCCTCCAGATTCAAGAGGCAAGAACCCTGGGTTCAGGCTCTAACTTGGAACCACCCATGCTGTGCAGTCTTGGTGAAGTCAGCCCCCCTCTTGGAGCCTCAGTTTCTTCACTGCTCAGATGGGGAGAATCGCCGCTGCACAGGACAGCTCATGGGGAATGAGACAAGGGGGCAGGTGGGTGCACCATGGCGCTAATAAATCGTAAACTGTTCTGAGGTGGAGGCTGCATCTGCCTGTCACAACAGGAAGGAAGACACTGAAATTCAGGAGCCCACAACACTGCTCGCCAGGGAGGCCCTCCTAGGTGTCCCCAGCAGAGGGACAGAGGTCATAGTCAGGCCAGTCAGGCAAGGTCCCTTGAAGGGAGCTATAATGAGATTTGAGGAGGAGCAGGAAGGGTCCAGCTTGGGAGGAAAGAAGGTGGACGGAGAACCCAAGGTGGAAAGGGGGATGAAAGCATCGATCAGGCGCTGTGCAAGTCTGTGACTCTGAGATGGCCTCACTCCAGGTGCCTCCAGGATTCTGAGTTCACTGATTCTCACAGTCTAATGCTGAGGGGCTCTGGCTCCGCGTGTGAAGGCTCAGTGTTTCTTCAGTTCTATTACTTGTTGCTCTTCATAACCTTTGGTTTTGAGATTCTAAGAGCCACAAGAGTAATGCTATCTTAAATCACATTCCCAGCAACCACAAAGTCCAGCAAACACTTGCCAGTGCTCTGGTGCGCCCAGCCTCAGAGGGACCTTGTACACCCGGCCTCACATCACACTCTGCTGGGCCCTTGAGGAGTACCCAGTCTGATTGGGGAGAGAGACATAGACAGGGACCAAATCCACTTGAGTGAATAAACCACAACCAAGGCAAGCCCAGGGGCCATGGAGCGAACAGCAACTCCCACCTGGCCTGGGGAGGTGGTCAGGGAGCGCTTCTGCAGAGGAGGGGTCATATGAGCTGGAACCTGATAGATGATTGGGAGTTTTTCAGATAGACAAAGAGGAAGCCAGGCTGTGAAGGCAGAAGAGGCATGAGCAAAGACTTGGTGGATGAAAGTAAGACCTGCTGGAAAAAGGCCAGCAGATCTTGTGTGGTTGCTGTGGAGGGTGAGGTGGCATGGAGTGTGGCGGAGGGGGAATGAGGCATTCACATGAAAAAGGCTCAAGTGCCAGGCCAAAGAGCTTGGCCTCTATTCTGAGGACAATGAGGAGCCATGGAAGGCTTAAGGGGGAAGGATGTGGTCAGAGTTCACCTTTACAAAGATGGTGCCACATGGAAGGTAGATGGGACAGTGAGTCTGGAGGGAGAGAGACCAAGGAGAGACAACACATATGGTGGTGCTGTGAGAGGAGCAGTTCCCTTGGCCCTGGATTTCCTGCGAGTGCCCAGCCATGGCAACAGTCCCTCTCCTACAAGCCAGGGCTGGGTGGCTGGGCACTCACCAGGAGGCCACGCCCACACCTGGAGGCTCTCCTCAGACCTGGGGAGGGAGAGGCCACGTGAGTCCCAGAAGCCTGAGGGCAGCCCTCTTCCCTCGCTCCAACACCCAGGCCTCTCACCCAGGAGTTACACTGACAGTGACAAGGTACCAGAGTAGAGGGCCAAGGAGTTGTTCCGCAGGGCCCAGGCTGCTCGTCCTCCTAGCAGACACTCCCGCTACTCATCTTGGACCAGGAAAGACTCGGGCCTAGGAGATGGGGTAACAGGGGTGAAGGAGCTCCACTGCTCCAGGACCAAGTGTGGCTCTCCGTGGAGCAAAGCCTCCCATTCTGCTCCGTGGCTGCTCCCACCTGGCCACTCATTTCCCAGATACCCACTGGCACCTGCTCTGAGCCCAACCTGTACTGGGTGATGGGGACAGAGAGAGAAAGCAGGGACCACCTAGCCTAGTCCTGCGACTGGTCTCTGGATGAGTACAGAGGTCAGAGTGGCCCACGCAGCCAGCCTCCTCCCATCAGGGCCCAGTATAAGGAGATGCCAGGCCTGAGGACCCAAGAGCACCCAAGAGAAAGGTGTGGCCCAGAGGGTACACCAGGCAGGCCTATGGAAAGCGCTTTGGGGAGAGGCAGCTTGGGCAGAAAGCATGAGGGGCAACCCCCCACTCCCCTCATCAGATCAACAAGGCTTCTCTGGCCCTGTGGGCAGGTCTGAGCTGACATTATCTTATCAGCAGTTGGGTAATCTGGCCACAAGAAAACCCCAAATGCACGATCCCAGGGCAGAATTCGAACTCCCCTCGATCCCAGGGCAGAATTCAAACTCCCCTCGGCCTGGAAGCCAGAGGACCAGGACCCTGACAGGGCTTCTGTCTCAGATGGGGAGGGCTAAGCCGCCAGGTGGACAGGAACCCCAGATTTCCCCTCAGCCCGGTGACAAGATATAATCCAGGCCTCTATTTCCTGATCTGCAAAATGGAAACACAATTGGGCTCACAGGGCTGTGGGAGGACAAAATGGATTGTCGTAAATTGTTACTGGTTAAGCCGTCTCTGCAGAGGTGGTGGGGGAGGAAGGCATTCAGTAATTAAATTTCAGTAATGAGCATAATAATCCTTTGCTATTGCACCCGTGTTCTCTTATAATCTTCAAAGTGGATTTAAGTCTATGAGTATCACACTCCTCCTTCATGCACTGCACTTTAAGGCTTATAAAGCTCTTCCCTGATTGCCAGCTTAAGAATCCTCATAGCAAATTTGCACCTGAAGAAGCAAGGATCACCATTCTCAATTTACAGATGACAGAACTGACACCTAGAGAGGGACAATGGCCTCTCTAAAGACTTTAGCCACTAAGTCAAAGCTCTCATGGGGTCACTCATGAGGCCCTGGTGATATCCTCACACCTTCTTAGCTGGTCCTTGGGGGGATCCACAGCCTTAGAGGCCCATGTAACCTGGGCAGGAGAGAGATAGGAACAGAAAAGCCACAGCCTCACTCCACAGTGTAGCCACTTCTGAGGGTTGCCCACAGTGATCCCCAACCCCTCTGACCAGACTCCGAGACAGCCCAAGGCAGGGAGAAGAGGAGAAAGAGTGACAAGCCTTTTGTGCCAGGGCCTCCCCACACACATACTCTCCCATGCAGGATCTTACTTGTTCTGGCCTTTTTTAAGAGCCTGGCAGGGGAGGAACTGGTCATCCAACAAGCTGGGAGCAGAGCTGGGATGAGATCAATTGCAGGTCCCCAAATTCCCAGCAGGAGTATCTGAAGGCTCAGGGAAAAGTGTTTGGCCAAGGGGCAAGGGCTCAATTAGAGTTTAAACAACCCCTGGGATGATTCTAGTGTCAACATCACACACGCCCTGACCTCCTGCCCTTGGCGCTTCTTGATCCATTCTCCATCCTGCAGCCAGCGAGCTCTTTCTGAAATGCTGCTCTGACCATGAATCTCCCCTGCTCATAAATTTCCATGGCTCCCTATTGCCTTCAGGATAAAATCTAGGTCTTTAGCTGGGGCACTCTGGGTCCTATAGTGTCCCAGATCACACTGTTCTGGCAACCTGTGCCACCCACTTTGATAACCAGATTCTGGTTTGCCCTTCTTTGTAGTGACATGGAGCTCCTCTGTGGCCAAGCCTTTACTGGAGAAGCTGGGGTTAGAAACCTGCTGTTCTCTCAGTTCAGCTCAGCCCTGTGCAGGGTGCTGGCAACACAGAAATGAGTCAGACCCAGTTTCTGCCCTCCAGGAGCCCCTAGACCTACGAAGAGGAAAGGAGGAGGCAGACATAGAGCATGACAGTCCAGGTAGGACCAGGGCTGTCAGCACCAGGACTCTAGGGGCCTAGAAGAGGCTCCAAAGCAGCTGGGGGGGATCAAGGAAGGCTTGCCAGAGGAGGGGACATCTGAGCTGGGTCCCAAGTCTGGGTAGTTCTCCAGTTGAGGAAGGAGTAGGAGGGCTTATCAGGCAGGGAGTATAGAATATGCAGTAGGCCAGGGGCAAGAAATGAGAGACTACAGGCAGCTACTGCAAGGTGAAGACTCAGGCGGGAGAGGTGGCTGGAAACATTGGCAGGCCCCAGTTATCAGAGGCCTTAAGTCCCAGGCTACAGGGTTCAGGCTTGGTCCTGTGGAAGTCTTGTGCCCTAGTGAGGGACACAGTTGGGATTCTGGTTTTGGACCAGCTTCCCATCCCCAAGCTGTGAGCCTGCCCAGGGGGCACAGTGGTGCTGAGCAAGACAAACGCAGCTCCTCAACAGCCCTCAAATTCCATATCATTAGTCCCTTCTTACAGAGGAGGCCACTGAGGTTCAGAGAAAGGATGCGTTGTCCAGGCCACACAGTGGCCAAGACAGGATTGGAACATAGATCTCCGAGTCTCCGGAGCTCTCCTGTGGACCTGTCTGGTCAGAGAATCTTCTTCCTCCCACTTCACCCCACAGGTAATAAACTTATCTGGGGCTCCACCCAGATCCTCAAAAGCTCATCATTATTTCAGCTTAGATCCAAAACAAACCAGGTAGATCAGGCTGTGGGCCCAGGAACCTGGGGATGCCATGCTGAGAGGAACGCAGCAGACCCCACAGGTCCCGAGCAGGCAGTCCAGGTTCCCAGCAGTCCCTGGCCCTTGGGCTGCGCTTCTGGAGGACCCCAAGAGGGCCACCGGCAGCCCTCGCGTTAGGAGGTGGGGCATCGCCTTTCTCCTGACTGACCCTTCCTACCGCACCATTTGCCAGATTAAAAGTACCGGGACAGAGGCTTAACTGTCCTTCCTCCCCACTCCTTCCTCCCCCGCCCACTCCCTGCAACTGCCCCTCAACCTTACCATGGCAGGCGGCCACTCAGAGTGACCCTGGGAGCAGGACAGGGGCAGGGGGTCTCCAGGGGTTCGTGTCTCTGGGCACCGCCCACCACCCCACGCCACGGGGGCGCTCACATCTGAGCACACACAGACAAGTCCCGCAGGCTAGGCCAGTCGCCCCCAGGGGCTCACACGCCCGCTAACACGCAGACTTCCCCAATACGCGGACGCGCACATTCTCCTCACTACCGGGCGCCGGTCCACAATCATCTAGACCGACGCTCCCGTGGAGACAAAGTTCAGCTACCAACCCATAGGCGCGCTCAAGCCGTCCAGTTATGCGCTGCACTCCGGCTCGCAACGGTGGCCGGGGCGGCAGCGGCTCCACAGCACTCTCCTCTGCCCCGCGCCCAGTCGCCACCTGCGCCAGTCTGGCCCGCTTGTCCCGGGGCCTCTCCAGCGGACCTCTCCCTGCGCCCTGTTCCCTCTAGGCGCCCCACCTCTCCTCACTGCGCTGCGCTCCTCCGCCCGGGTGCCGTCGCCGCCGCTCCCGGGTGCTAGTGCCCGCGTCCAGCCGCCGCCGCAGAGACCCACGTGCCTGGGAGCCCCGCTGCCCCCTCCCGGCCCAGTTCCCCAGCCGGGCCAGGCAGGGGGCGGGGCGGACTCTTGACCGACCCTGGCACCGCCCCCAACCCGCCCGGGTAGACACCTCGCCACTCGCTCGGGGACGCCACCCAGCGACATGGCCGCGGGGTCAGCGCGTCTGTACCGGTGCTGCACCGCGAGGGGCGGGCGGCGGCGGTTCCACTGCCCCGCCAGAAGGAGGCCGCCCGGCTCCCTCACGCCAGAAGGGAGAGAGTAAGGAGCGGTTTTCAGAGACGCCAAAGTTTTGCCATGTCCGCCAGGCGCTTGCGTGGCCCACTGCGGGACCTTTGCGCCCAGCCGCCGCGCCACCCCACCCCTGTCCCGCCCCTGCCCCAGCCCGGCTGTCCAGGAAGGGACCTGCTCCTAGAGATTTGCTCCGAACCCCAGGCTGAGGACACACCTCCCTTGCTTGAAAGTGGAGGCAGGTGGTGCCTCTCCCCATTACCCTGGGAAGGAAAGCAGAGCACTAAGGATCTCGCCTCTCCCGTGCTCCCCGCTATCCCTTAATCTTATCAGCAGCTCCCTGAACTCCCAGTTCTCTTTGGCCCCTCGTCTTGAGCTGCTTTAACTCTCTTCTCTTCCCTCAACCCCACTTTGATGGCCTTCCTGGTCTTGGGCTGCATGTCTGACCTTTTCCGAGACTGTGAGCTCCCGAGGGCAGCGACCAGGTCTGCCTTCTTCCTGCTGCTGTCTCAGAGGTCCTGGAAGGTGCTCAATCCTTGAAGTTGTGGGTGGATGAATGAACGAGGGCCTCCCTCTATCATTTCTGGTCTAGGAATCAGGAGTGTAGGTTCCCGCCCAGCTTCAGCTTTGACCCTGGGAGACCTTGACCCAGTTCCAGTCCCTCTCAGGGTCTCCTTTCCTGTGAAATGGAGCCAGTCATTAGGGTTGCTGGACAAGTGCAGAGGAGGCCTCTTCCTGTAGCCAAGGAGCTTGCCCAGGGCCCTGGGGCCTTGGGCCCTTTTGGGCTCCACATCAGCTGACTGGGCCTGGTTGCCAGCCCAGGAGGGGTCCAGGAAGGGTGCTGGCTGCAGCCCAGCCAGGAGCAGGAGCAGAGTGGACACACAGCCTAGTGTGGCTGAGCCACCTCTGCAGTCCCACTGGGACCTTTGCTTGGCACACACAAAGGCCCCTTGTCCAGCCTCCTCTGCCTATTGTCTAAGCTGGGCCGTACAGCTTCCAGGGACCTAAGTATCCTCGTAGCCCAAGTTACAGGGCCCAGGTCTTCAGGTTCCAGTGTGGGGAAGCCCCTTTAGGCACTGGAACTCCAGCCAACCCCCTGTTTCTCTTCTTCCTTCCAAACTTCAAACCTTATACTGTCACTGCCATTTAACCCAGGAGAAACCAGTTTCTTTGACGTCAAGATGAGGACCCAGGCTCTACCTAAGCCTTCAGCAGGCAAACCTGGCTGGTGGCCTGCCCAGGGCTCTGCCGCTCCTCTAGCCCAACTCCCTTACTTTACAGCTGAGGAAACTGCATCCCTGAGACATACAAGGCTTCAGCTACCACACAGGTAACTTAGTGAGGCCTAAGGAGTAGAGGAAAGAGCCTAGTCCTTGAACCCCATAGCCTTGGGTTTAGATTCCAGTCTTGCCTCACCTGTCCCATGACTCCTCTATGAGCCCGAGTTTCCCCTTTTGCAAAATGGAATAATACTAATCTCTCACTTGCTGGCCTGTCTTAAGTTTTTTGAGAAAGGGTTTCACTCTGTCACCCAGGCCAGAGTGCGGTGGCATGATCACAGCACACTACACTCTCTACCTCCCAGACCCAAGTGATCCTCCCACCTCAGCCTCCCAAGTAGCTGGGACTACAGGTACATGCCACCATGCTTGGCTAATTTTTAAAGTTTTTGTGGAGATGGGGTCTCCCTGTGTTGACCAGGCTGGTCTTGAACTCCTGGGCCCCAGCAGTCCTCCTGCCTTGGCCTCCCAAAGTCCTGGGATTTTAGGCATGAGCCACTGCTCCCTACCCTTACATTCTTTTTTCATGGCTTTATTCACCATCCCAAGCTGTCTGGGTTCAAGGGGTTAGTATCCCATGTAATGAGGGGCTAGACGTCTCCATCTCCTGACATCCTCCCCAGACACTTCTGTCGCTGGGTTTTAGAGGTCATCAAGTCCAGCAGGCTTCAAATCCCCCAACAGAGTCCCCCTTACCTGGGGCTGCCTGTGGAACCCCCATCCCACTTCAACGTGAGCACCTTTGCTTCTGTATTTTAATTTATTTCTATTCTGGTAAGAATTTGTTGCAAACTCACAGAAGATTTTCTGGCTGAAAGAATATAAAACCTTTGATCAAACTGGAAATGGAGACACAGCAAGCCTCACACAACAGGCCCATCTGAAAGGCTGGAATAGTATCGAGGGAGTCTCCCTAGAACCAAGCAGCCAAGGCAGGCTAACGGCAAAGGCCCAGGCACAGTAATGGTCCCTGGTGCGTAATGGAGCCATGGGGGCGGGGGGAGGGTTCCATTAGCAGCAGCAGGTCAGGAGGGGAAGGGCAAAGTTCCAGCCTCAGCTTCTACCATGTATTAGGAGGCTTCCTGTCTCCCCAGCCCTGAGGAGGTATTTGGCTCACTCAAGCCTTTTCATCTTCCTTCTCTCCACTTCTCTCATCACCCCTGAGAAAACCTGCTCTGAGAATGCATGCTGGGTATGGCCCTGCCCTGGCCCAGGCTCCAGTCCCTCCTTCCGAGGCTGCAGTGGTGTCTCTGTTGCCCCTGGCTGTCATACCCTGCCTCACACTCTCTGGTGGCTCCACTACCCTCTGGATAAAGCCTAGCTCTCCAGCCTGCCATGCCAGCCTCCCTGCCTCTCTGACCAGCCTCCTGTTGCTCCCTCTGCCCACAGTGCCCCTGATCCTGGCTCCCCACTATGGCTCCTCCAAGACCCAGGCCAGGTGCCCCACTACTTACCATGCTGTTATCACTAAGATTGCCTGTCTCCCCCTCTAACAGGGATCTCTATGAGAGCAGAGCCAGGGTCCATTCTGTTCACAATTAAATGGCCAGCACCTATCGCTGTCCCTGAATCCTTTTTTTTTTTTTTTTTGAGACAAAGTCTTGCTCTGTTGCCCAGGCTGGAGTGCAGTGGTGCAATCTTGGCTCACTGCAACCTCCGCCTCCTGGATTCAAGTGATTTTCCTGTGTCAGCCTCCCAAGTAGCTAGGATTACAAGCGTGCACCACCACGCCTGGCTAATTTTTGTATTTTTAGTAGATATGGGGTTTCGCCATGTTGGCCAGGCTGGTCTCGAACTTCTGGCCTCAAGTGATCTGCCCACCTTGGCCTCCAAAAGTGCTGGGAGTACAGGCAGGAGCTACCGCACTCAACCCCTGTCCCTGAATACTTGTCACAATATATTTGTTGTAAGTGAATAAGAACTCTATTTAGTGGTCACCTTCTTTGTGCTAGTCATTAAGTTTAAGGTATCTTATTTAATCTTCACTAGAACCCTGTGAGATAGGTGTTATTTTATTACTATGTGACGTATAGCGAAACTGAGGTTCAGAAAGGGGTAGTGAATGCCCAAAGCCACACAGCGAGTCTGCAGTGGGTCTCCTAGCCCTGGAACTGCAGGCTGACGGGAAGGAAGGCCTTGCTGAGTTCCCTGAGTTATGGCTGGGCCATGGCATCGGGACCCACACTGGCGGCTCCAGTTACACAGGGTTGGGCTAGCTGCTGCAGTCTTGTCTTACTTGCTCCCTGAACTGCTGCATTGGCCTGCACCATCTTCCCTTCCCTCGCCAGCCGGGAACTGTGCTTCTCAGGTTTCCTGGGCAGGATCCAGGGCTCTGATGCCAAATGCAGCCTGGAAGCTCTGCCCCAGGATGCGGGCACCCAAGTGAGGCCGCCTGGGGTGCAGGAAGCCTGGTCCAGGCCTGGGCACGCCTCTGTTCCATCCCTCCTCAAGCAGGACCAACTACTTGATCTGCAGGACCCAGGGGAAAATGAAAATGTGGGCCCCTCATTCAAAAATTAAGAATTTCCAACAAAAGAACAAGAAATAATAATAAATTAAGAATTTCAAGATGGTGATAGCGGATTATTTAATGCTTCAAAGCATGGCCCTTACTGTCCAGGTCACATGCCCATGAAGTCAGCCCTGTCCTCAGGCACTGATTTCCTTGTCTGTCAAGTGAGAGAATGGTAGCCACTGGCCAAAAGGGTGAGGCTGAGGTGGGAGCTGGCGGTAGGAGGTCCAGTGAACAGCATGAGGATGGGGTAATGGTCTCCACTTTCATCATTTGTTATCTGGGTCTCAGCACTGGGTGGCAGACCAATCCTTGCCAGGAGTTTGAGTGCTTACAACACCTCGTTTTCACTGAACCAAAAACTAAAACTCCGTGAAGCAAAGCAACTTGCTCAGGGTCACACAGAGACTCAGTGGGGGAAGCCAAGATCAGAACCCTGGCCTGGCTCTCTGCAAAGCTGGTGCTTTTCGTGACCCAGGCAGGAGAGAGAGAAGGGCAGGAGGGAGGTGGGATGGGGACAGGCTGCTCAGGACAAAGAGGACCACTGTGCAGACACAAAGACCTGACCACAGAGGCCTCTATGGGGGCTGGGACACACAAATGGGTGGAGCAGTGTGACTCTATCTGTGGTGACTGAGAGAGCTGCCAGGAGCTGCCTCCTAGACCCTCACTGGCCTTGATAGGGGCTGGGGTATTGGCCTGTAGGAACCAGGAAATGGGTCGGGGAGGAGAAACACTTAGAGATGGGCCCCTTCCCGCTCCCCAGGCCTCTGACCCCACCTCCCCCTAGTTCCTCCTGGGCAGCCTGCCAGCTTAAGGAATCTCCCTCACACCATCCACCACCCCACATTCTTCCATCTCAGTGACGCTGAGGCTCAGGCAACTTGCTGTCTGACAGTCCCAGCCTCACAATGCTTCTGACCCTTCCCCATCACCGGCAGCAGCATGAAGCACACGCCCTCGGTGCAGCATCCTTCAGGGCCCAGTACGACCTGCCCTGCTGACTTTTCTTCACTCCCCTATCCCCACTCCTCCTCAGCCTCCCACAC